AATAAAAGTAAAAATATTGTTAGAAGATCAAAAGGAAACCAAAATAAACAGTCTGGTAAAGTCTGAGTCACTCAACGTAGGACACTTACATTGTGAGAAGTGGGATACAAATCAGTGAGCTTGGTCTGCTTATGGCAAATGCAAGAAGATTATCAGTGTCCACAATAAAAAAATATGAGGCTCACAGGGAACACAATTATTGATCTTAATACCAGAAAAGAATTATTCACTTGTATCCACACGAAAACTATCCATGAGAAAATGAACTTCTGTCATAGCCTGGAGGTAAATAGAATTCAGTTCACCCTGTGTATTCTTTAACATCCTCAGCCTAGACAGAAGGAATGCATGGGGGTCCTGAGGAATAAGAGCATAGGACATTTCTTCACTTTCTACAAGCACAAACTTCTGGCGTTGTCTTCCTTGCTTACTCAGAGAATATTACTTGTCAAAAAAGACCCGGGACTGAAGACATCGCCTGACTAAGACTGTCAGCCAGGCTGGCCCCGAAGCAACCACTTCTTATTATCAGTCATGTTTTTCCTTCCCTCGGCTTGTCAGAAACAAAGAGGGTCAATTCATGGTCAACTCTGCCAAAATTGTTTTCCCTGCCAGTCAGAGATATGAAAGCCTGAGACTGGAAGTGTAGGCAGACATGGTTTGGTTTGTTTTCAAATTCAATTCTCTTAAAGGAAAATACTATTAACTAAGCAAGAGGGGTGGGGGAGGAGAATAGATCTAGGAGGATCATTTAATAGTATCTCAGAATGTTTCACCATGAAGAAGCCCAAGCCGGATAACATACCACAGGCTCATGTGTTAATAATTGGTAGAAATGGCCACGGAGAGGTGAGAACCACGTGGAGATCAAAGTGCCAGCTTATTTGTGCACTAGTCGGGTTGTGTTGGGCAGATGGCAGTGCCTAGGAGTGTTGTGCGAACTGTGGAGAAGCAAGGCTTTGGATCCAAAGAACTATTTCTACCCAATCAAGGATGTGGGGCCCAAGTTACTGACTTGAGGTGCAGGAAGGGTAAACCAAACGCTGATTCACAGCAGGGTAGCTGGGTGCAGAAGGTGATTTCCCTGAGCCCAGCAAGAGAAACTACAAGGAGGAGGTAAGAATACTTGCCTTAGGACCAAAGAATGTGGCCCAGGGGAATCGGACTATTACTGACTCACCTCAGAGTTCCTCCCTCTCCAGGCAAGATAAAGGAAAGACAAGAGGTGGAGAGAAAGGCAGAAAGACCCTAGTACTTTTCCACAGAGCTTTTGAAGCTCTCATTGATGAAAATCAGAAAATGAACTGTTTATTCCAACCAGCAGGATCAACCTTGATTGTGTCACCTACGTGGTCTCTCGGGGGGCACATGCTCAGAGGGACTCTGTGATGACTTGAATGATCTTCACTGATGTCCTGAAAGTCTTCATCATCCCTGTTAGTGGGGCTCTGCAGCTTCATTATTCACTGAGCCCTGCAAATCGTGTAGCTAGCCTTGCAAGGAAGAATTAAAAGAACAGGAGCATCAAAAGGAGACAGAGACCCACATTGGAGCACCAGACTGAAATCTCAAGGTCCAAATCAGGAGCAGAAGGAGAGAGAGCACGAGCAAGGAACTCAGGACCGCGAGGGGTGCACCCACACAATGAGACAATGGGGATGTTCTATGGGGAACTCACCAAGGCCAGCTGGCCTGGATCTGAAAAAGCCTGGGATAAAACCGGACTCGCTGAACATAGTGGACAATGAGGACTACTGAGAACTCAAGAACAATGGCAATGGGTTTTTGTTCCTACTGCACGAACTGGCTTTGTGGGAGCCTAGGCAGTTTGGATGCTCACCTTACTAGGCCTGGATGGAGGTGGGTGGTCCTTGGACTTCCCACAGGGCAGGGAAACTTGATTGCTCTTTGGGCTTACGAGGGAGGGGGACTTGATTGGGGGAGGGGGAGGGAAATGGGAGGCAGTGGCGGGGAAGAATCAGAAATCTTTAATAAATAAATAAAAATTAAAAAAAAAAAAACCCTGACAGTGCGCTGGACCAAAAGTTGTTAGAACGTGAGGGAAAGTGACACCAGCGCCAGTGTCTGACAGCGCCAAGGGAATGGTGCTTAGTGGGATCCGATGGGAGGGACATCCAAGTGCAGGGTGGGCCATGAGGATCAGGAGAAGAGCAGCGGATGCTTTACTCCTGGCCAAACTAGTCACTTAAGCATTGCTGGAGAAAAACAGCCAGGCTTGGGAGGCTGTCGGGGAGGGTATCCCCGAGAGAGCATGACTGTTGGTGAGTGTGTGTGTGTTTGTCTGTCTGTCTGCCTGACTGTATTCATATCATCCCAAAAGAGAAGATAAAAATCTAACCATTTTAAAGCACTAATGGTTTTATAAGAATATAATCAATGCAATTCTGGTTACATAAACTACTCTAGGAGCTGGAGAGATCTCTCAAGGGTTAAGAGTACTGGTTGTTCTTACAGAAGACCTGGGTTCAATTCCCTGCACCCTCATGGAAGCTCATAAACTTTTATAAGTCCATTTCCAGGGAAATCCAGTATCCTCTTCTTACCTCTACAGGAGCCAGGGATCCATGTAGTACACAAACATGCATGCATGCAGGCAAAACACCCATTCACACAAAATAAAATAATAATAAAGCTGTTTTTGATAAAGAGTAGTAGTTCTGGGGGGAGGGTAAGTTTGAGGTCTTCTAAAAAGAAACTTTACACATCTGACCTTAACGAGTGCACGAAAAACATTAGAAGGTACGCAGATGGGAATCAGTAAGGGAGATCTGCTTCCCCCTGATTCTTTACAACTTGAATATCAGATTTACTGAAGGAACAAAGTCAATTGGAATGTGTTTTCTAAATGTTCTAGAAAGACCCATGTGAAACAAGGTTATATTTCAAGTTTGCGCACAACGGCTCCGGGAATCAGTTGTGAAGATGACCTAATTGTTCTTTGTTTCTCACTGGGGAGAAGAGACAGAAAAAGACTCATAATAACAAAATCTGCACTTTTCCTCTGTTACTGCAGTCACGTGCTAACACTGAATTCAAGCATGAAGTTCATGATAACAATTAAAGACAAATGAAGTAGAAACCACAATTACGGAGTGGGAAACCACTCTCCTGAGCCCTTTCTTCTCTCACTTTTCTCATAGGAACTCAACAAATTGTTGATGACCATCCATCCCATCATGTCCAAAGTGGTCAGAAATACCAGAAGGGCCCTGAGAAGACAGGCACGGTGGCGGGGAACTAGCCAAAACTGGATGTTTTCTTACTGACAGCTCCATGGAACGGTTACCACAGAAAGTAAAAAGGATCAAAGTGATTTAGTTGGTAGTGGCCTGAATTTCAAGATCCTGAGTTAGAAAAAATGGACATTAGATTTGGTATAATTAATTTTAACTTTTAGGGAAAATTGGAGCCATGTAAAAAGTCTCTTGTGAAAAGATCTCCACAAGGTGACATGAAAGGCAGATGCAAAGACGCCAGACCTTAGAATACCGATCAACGGCCGGGCGGTGGTGGCGCACGCCTTTAATCCCAGCACTCGGGAGGCAGAGGCAGGCGGATCTCTGTGAGTTCGAGACCAGCCTGGTCTACAAGAGCTAGTTCCAGGACAGGCTCCAAAACCACAGAGAAACCCTGTCTCAAAAAACTAAAAAAAAAAAAAAAAAAAAAAAAAAAAAAGAATACCGATCAACGACGCAGATCCACTCACTTGAGAAGAGTGTTCTGCCTCTAAGCAGAGCAGGTGATACCCAGGAAAGAGCCTTGGTTTCTCGGGATTTTGTGGGGTGGCATAGATGCGCAATCGTGTGTGGGTAGAATTTGCAAGGCTGTGTCCTCCTGTTTACAATGGAAGTGGTGAAAAAGCCAGAAATTCTTAACTTACATTTGGTGTACAAGTCGGAAGGGTTTGTTCACCCATTCTCCTCTGAAGTAGCTCTAACTTCGCAATGTCTGAATGGTAAAAACTGTCAGGATTCTTCTGTGTGGTGGGGAGTTTACCTTTGTCCTGAATTGTGTGGCATTCTATGTCACTCAGGGGAGGGGACAGCACTGCCTATAGCAGACATGGTGAGACATCCTGCCTGTCGTTAACCCAGTCAGTGTTTCTCCAGGGTGATGACTGTGTTCATGGCTGCAGGACAAAGCAATTACAGCTTGTCTGCATCCTGCTTCCAGTTGTAATGAACTGCTCTGACAGATACAGTTTAAGAGATAAAGCATTTATTTTAGCTTACAGTTCAAGGCGCGGTCCATCCCCACAGGGAAGTGAAGGCAGTAGGAGTTTGGTGCAGCAACCTATAGCACAGCCGGAGCAGCGCACGGAACAGATGTGTGCACAGCCAGAGCAGCGCACGGAACAGATGTGTGCACAGCCAGAGCAGCACACGGAACAGATGTGTGCACAGCCAGAGCAGCGCACGGAACAGATGTGTGTTCCTGCTCACTTCCTCCTCTACTGATGCAGCCCAGGACCCCAGCCAGAGAAAAGTTTCCCACTGTGGGAAAGTCGTCACTCCCCCACCCCGCAGAGTTCCCAGAGGCCTGTCTTCCAGGTGGTTCTAGATTCTGTCCAGCTGACAGTAACCGCACAGCTGACATAAATGGACAAAACTACCAACACAATCCCAAGTTTTCTGGTGCAAGGTGATGTCCTCATCAGAGAGAAGGAGGCAAAATGCCAGAGCAGCAAATGCAGCCAGACAGGTGAGACCTGTTCACTGCATTATATTGTTTATAAATGAGTTTTTATTACTTCTTTTGGAGTTTATGTGACATGCATATGTGACCATATTCACTCCTCCCTAGTGAAAGCCATGACATTCACCTCCAACTAGGAAGCCAAGGTGAAAACCATGACACTCACTGCCAACTAGGAAGCTAAGGTGAAAACCATAACACTCATCTCCAAATAGGAAGTCCAGGTTTAAGTCATAAAACTCACCTCCAATTTAGAAAGTCGAGGTTTAAGCTATAACACTCACCTCCAACTAGGAAGTCGAGGAACATGAACCTGTTCCATCCCCTTGGTACCCTTTTCTGCTGTAAATCTTTGATGGCAAGAGAAAAATGAGAGAATGGGAAAAATGAAGGACTTAATATTTGAGTCTCAGAGTCAATAATATTCTGAGAATGGTTTTGAGAATACACGGTATATGACTTTGGGCAGGCTACTTACCTGCACTGTTTCCTCATCTATAAATTGAATGATGAAAACGATAGCGTACATCACATCCAGTAATGATGAGCTGTCAATGAGATGATGAAAATGACTGCATACTCCAGGAATCATGAGCTACCCATGAGGTAAGAGTCTCAAATGAGCCAGGGCTCCCAGCACACAGCACCTCTTCAGCAAAGATGTTCTGCGACTAGTGCAAGGCTGCAGAATCTAGGCAAAGAATGCAATAATGTTCAGGGAGGATCCCGGGCAGGGTCCTTTTATTCCTCTAACAGTTGCTGGTATTCAGGGCTTGGGCTTAGGAAATGAAAGTGACTCTGAGTTCTAGATATAAGGAGGCTAGTCAGAGGTTTCAGTCCCTGTCAGTTTTCTGAGTTCATGGCCACTAAGAAGCCTCTCCCAGTTCTCCTCCACTTCTTTACCCTGTGCATGCATCAAGTCAGAATGGGCTAGACAAGCTCTGACTCAAGTAGAAGAAATCTGGGCATGGTCTTTGTGCTGCTCACATGCCGTGTCGGTTTACCAGAACACCTTTCAAAGTGAGGACACGGCTGGCAACTGGCCAGGCTTGCTTGCTCTGCCAGCGTCCTTCAGAAACTTGGCCAGGGAGATCAGAATGAGTGGAGAGGGAAATGTCAAGATCAACACTGGGAAAGTACCACATGTCCTTGGCCTGGAGGTGCTGCCGGAATGGGATGATCAACCCTGCACTGTTATGGGATAATCTTTTCGTACACTGTGAAGATATGCCTCTGCCTAAGGCATCTTCTGATCGGTTTCATAAAGAACTGAATGGCTCATAGCTGAGCAGGAGAGGATAGGTGGGACTTCCAGGGAGAGAGGGGAGCTTAGCAAGAATCTGAGGCATGTAGAATTTGCCAGCCAGACATGGAGGAGTCAGATGAGGAGAGGTAATGAGCCATGTAACAGAACATAGATTAATATACGCAGGTTAATGTAAGTCAAAAGAGCTACTTGGGAACAAGCCTAATGTAAGGCCAAGCTTTTATAATTAATAAGGAGTGTCAGTACCATTATTTGGAAACTGGCAGTCCAAAGAAATTCTGACTATACTACATCCAGGAAGACAACTGAGAGAACAAACCAGATCCACATCAGCTCCAAGGCCAGCATATTGCCTCCTCCACCCTACCCATATGTGCCCCTGCCCCGATTCATATAAATTTTATCTCTTCCACCTCCCTTGGGCCATACTTCCTCCTGGCCATCATAAAAGCAAATCAGAAATTAATAAAATTCATTAAACATATAGAAGTAAAAATTAATATTTTTCAATATATTAAAAATATTTAGAGTCAATAAAAATGTAAAGGAAGAAAAAATGCAAAACATACAAGCCACAGCTCAAAGATCAAAGATTTCAACTTTTTATGTTAAATAGATGAGACTTCAAATTAAAGGTAAAAAATTTACTAAGCTCAAAAGGTAACTTCTCGAATAGTGTTACTCCATGTATTGTGCAATATTAGCAAACGTTTTACCTTGGCCTGAAGTAGTCTGTGAGGGCCTTCATCCCCTACAAAGAAGTACTGTGTTATTTTCAGTGTCCTTTGGAACCAATATGAAAAAATAAAATAAAAAAAAACAAGTGAACAAATAAGAACAAACACATTAAGATAATAAAGTAAGCAAACCAGGGAAATTTCCAGAAGTTGAGTTTGCTATTTCTCCTGCCATACACAAATTCTGTCTGGCTCATTAGTGTGAACACTCAATGTCAACCTAAGGAAGACACAGATCTTACTTTTGCTTCAATAGAATTATCTTTCTGAATATGAATATAAACATGAGAGCTAGATGAATGGTTGATTTTTAGATGGTGGGCTACTTTAATAAATAGTTAAAATAAGAAAAGATACATCTCTATTGTAAGTTCTGGTATTCTGAGCTTTTTCTTTATTTTTCTGTAAACACTTACTTATGTAATTTTATTTACATTGATGGACTCAGGCTGTAAGCATTCTTTAAAAGCACAGAAATAAACTATCACATTCTGTACTGGTATTGCATGTCAAATTTCCTCTTTCCTTCAGTGATATTTCACAAGTATCCATTTTGTATGCTGGCATTTGCAGGTGACTTCTTTATACTTCAATGTACTGAATCATTTTGTTCCATGTCTCTCATCCTATTACCTTGATTTTGCTCTCAGCATTTTCTTTCTGCAGAGATCTGGTTTAATCGCTGCTATTTCTGGCAAGGTCATTTACTCCTGAAAGTTCACATGAGCATAAGCAAGCTGGAGACTTTCATCTCGACTCCTGAATGAACACACTTTTTCCTTTTCCCAGTTACATCTCCAGCCAGCCTGGGCTGCTTTTTCCTTTCCTTTTTTATTTTTTTAAAGCATTTTGTTTTGTTTTGCTCTTAGCCTTACTACTAGAGAAATCCCAGTGTCTCTCCTAAGCCTTCCAGTAAATGTCTCAAAGTCATTTCTTCTTCCTGCCCCCTCCACATGACGCCTTGTGCTCTTTTCAGCTCACAACCATGTCCCGCCATTTATTTTTCCTTTTGTCACTAAATGGCCGGCAATGACAGGCAGAGTTTATAAGACCTTGTGTTTCAAATCTCACATGAGTTCCTCCTGATTTGGGTTTATTTCCATTCGTTGGGACATTAATTTCCCTGCTTACATTGGCATTAAGTGTATTTTAGATAATGCTTTTGCTCAAGTCAAAAATAGTAGAAATCCGTTTTCAAAATAAAAACAGAAGAAGTATTCCAATGTCCTAACTCTCATCTATGTCCTTAACAATATTTTGAGGCTATACATAGCATTGAACGCATCTCTAAACACCCCCATGACAGTCTCAAATCATCCATGTTTAGTATCAGTTCATTAGATTTTATAGTCAATACCACCATTACAGGCTTGATTAAATGAACTCTGCTGGACTCTATAATGCTTGCTATAGCCACACAACTCCTGCAGCCTTCAGAGAACATCCATTATATGACCCCACCCAAAGAAGAAGAAAGTGCTCACTATTGACCTGATGTCTTTTTAGAGGAGCTCTAGAGTTGTTGATAAATACAACCATCTGAGAAATACATCTAACAGTATCAAATCCCTAGGAGCCATTTCACACCTCGAAGATGAGGTTAACAGAAATGGTGTGTTCTAACATCAGCAAGCCCAATCCTACATCAGTTCCGCTAATACCACCCCAAGTCGGGTTCACCTGAATGAATAATTACAAAGTGATTACTCTGCTTATTTTGTGATTTAAAGCATACAAAAATAATGTTCCAAACTCTAAAGCTTTTGTAGGCTGTGATGTCAACTGTACAAAATCTGTCATTTATGATGCATTTGATAAAGCAAATCAGTATAGATGTAAGAATAAAAGAGCTCTCAAAGTATAATATCACCTTTTGGCTCCTTTCCCACATAGGAACAGTTTGGGTTCCCACCCACACCTGATGAGTTATGGGGCAAACAGCATGCCATCCAGGCTACTTGACCTCCATAGTAATGACCCTTCGCAAAATTAGCTAACTCCTCCCAGATCTGTGTTTGTCTACTAGTAGAAACATTCTTAACAGAGGAGAAGTCAGAAGAAGAAAATTAGTTGAGGAGACTGAAAACAAATATGAACAAGAGAAATATGTAGTTAGAAAAGTATTTATTGAAACATATCTGTGTTCATGTTCAAATAATTATATATACGTCAGTTGTATAGGCACCCTTCCTGGTTTACTTGACATCGTGTCCTCACTATAGATTTGTAATTCCCTCTGCCAAACACACCTGGAACAGACTTGATCTTGGCTTGAGGTCTTCCTGTCTTCGTGCAGGTCATCCTCTTCTTTCCTGCCCAAAGTACCCACTTCTAGACTCAGCAGACTCTCTTTGTTGGTTGTTGTTTCCTATAAATATCTTTTCCAAATATAATGACAAAAACTTTACCCTAAGTGGAGATAATTTTGTTTCCACTGGAAGAAAAACACATCTTTGTCTTCTTCATGTAGAAGAAGCCAAATTAACCTGACATGGGATTTACAAATATTGTGTCTCTGGGTTGTTGGTTTGTTCTAATAAAATGCAGTGATGTAATCTGTGACCATAATAATGACCGTGGCAGTGAGTACTCTAAGCTTTATCTCTCGACTTTAGGCCAGGAAAGAAAAACTGTAACCCTTTCCTGTTCAACATAAAACACAGTAACTTGTAGATTAGATTCTTTTCCTGTTCCTGCAATTTTTAAAAACTGAAAAAAAAATAATTTAAGGGGAAAATGTGATATTGATTTCAGTTCACCATTTAAGAGTATCGTGACCTGAGAGTCCTGCAGGAACTTGAGACAACTGGTCACACCACAACCACAATCAGGAACAGAGAGCAGCGAAGGCATGCTGGGTGATCAGTTCCCTGTCTCTATACAGAGAACAGCGAACACATGCTTGGTGTTCAGTTCTGTGTCTCTATTTATACAGTCCAGGATCCTAGGCTTGGAATGGTCTTGCTCACATTTAAGATGGTTCTCCACATATCAGTGAACACAATCAAGATGATCCCCAATAAGTATGTCCAGAACCATACCCCAGATAAGCCCAGACTTCGTCAGGCAAACAGTTAACATTGACCCCACACCTGAGCAACTCGTCATTCAGACACAGAATTTTTAAGCCATAATCTTTCTCTCTTCATCCCATAGACTCATGACCATGCTATACTAGAAAATGCGTTCAAAACAACTCTAAAAGTCCTTATCATTTTCAACAATTCCAGCACTTTAGAACCCCAAAGGTGATTGGTTACATATTCCCAGGATATAATAGTGCTAACCAAATATTCCTATTGAAAATGAAAAATTGGAACATAGGAAGAAATGACCAGGTCAAAGCGAAACCATACTCCAGCGGGGAAAACACCACATCCCTCTGTTCCATGTCTGGCACCTGGAGCTTTTAATGTAATCAATGAGACTTCCTAAGGCTTGGGATGCTCTTAGGCCTGTAGAGCACCATTTTTATTGTAAACTGCTTTAACTCCACATCCCATAACCCTCTTTGTAAAATGTCCCATGATCCTAGCGTCCCTAATTTCCTGGGGCCTCTACTGAAACTGAGACTTTGTCATCACTACTTCACAAAACAATTGCCTCAAAGGGCTGCCTTGCTTGGATTCCAGCCCTGCTGTTGCCTGACTCGGTTGCTCTCCATCTTGCATGTTTCCTATGTGCAAAACCAGTATCCCATGGATGACATAGCAACTCCTACTGCCAGACTGCAATGTAG